CCCCCCTTAAAAACATCTGTAGGAGCGCCCCTTCTCCCACAGACTTTCCTCTGCTCCAAGTCAAACGACTAAAACAAATGTTTTATGTATTTGTTGGTAAAATCTAACCTTTTAGACACGAGYACCATTAAGTGCTAACATTAAAAAGTTGGTTTAACTTCACCTCTCTGCTTCCTGGTTATTTCCATACCTGAGCGGTTGTGTGCCGGAGGTTAAGCTCCTACCAGCCGTCAGCCAGGCTCCGCAGGACACCGCCGTCCTCCGCCGGGAACATTCTCTTAAACTAACCTGGGCCAGCCGCCTCACCGCTGTTACTAAAGCCATTTCGAGCACCAATAATAAAAATAATAAAAATAATAATAAAAACTAAGTGAGGAAACTGAGCAGGACTGGCAGCTCTCTCGTGTCCGACCCACCGCAGGACTTCCCTGAAGTTGTGCGACTTAGCACGGCTAGCTGGTGTTAGCTGCAACGAGTCACTCTGTCACTGTCGTCCCATTGCGTAAAAGAAGGCTCGCTGTGTCCGAATCAATCAGCTGATAAAATTCTGGGTCGGAAAAGGCTAARCAGCCGCAAAAACACCAGCCAAGTAGAAAGCTGGCAACTACAGGCCACCGTCCTCACTTATCCAGTCGGTTTTCCTACTATTATGATCAAGTAAACGCCGCACGTTTTTCCTTTTACAACTTCAAAATAAAAGATCTATCAGCTAATTTCACTGCCCCATTTTGGTGGAAAACCCCAAATAATTCGCTGCTAGTTAATCTCTTCCTTATAATTGTTGGAGTAAATTTACGTAGAATGGTTAATTTTAATGTACTATCAAAAGCGGTTTTATTTTGGTTTTATTTTGAAAGCAGGATATACACATTTCCTGTTACGCGCTATCAAGCTTTGCGAAACGTTTGGTCCCGAGGTTGTTCACGTGCGTGCGTACGTATTACGCATCGGTTAAAAGGATATCCCACTTCTTGTACATGTTGTCCTTAAATGGATCTGCAGCTGCACTCGTTGGCCTTCATATGTGGTTACTGGYTCATTCCTGGTGCACCAAAAAACCTACAGAATACATGGTCAATTCTGATTTTTCAAATCCTATTTATCAAAATAGGACTACTTGGACACTTAGCATTATTTCACTGTTGTACTTGTGTGGGACATGTGAAAACATCTAAGTACTTAAAAACTATGTTTATTGCATTTTCCCATTCATTTAAGTGTGTCTCCATTTTGTTACTGATGTAATGACTCTGGGGCTGATGATAGGTTCAAGGTGAGACTTCGAGGTTTTGGGTTAGAGTAGTGGTGGAGGGGAAACTGGCACCACGCCGGCCTCTGCCTCTTCTTCTTTCCCTTTTTAATTGCTCTATAGAACAACATGCACCAACAGTACATCTGTGGGGTGGGGGGGTGTCAGGGTCTTTATTCCCATGCCGTTCCCCGACTGCCATTTGGGGAGGGGGTCCTGAAGAAGGGCAGACCGCCGGGTGCGGTCCTGGGCTGTGGGTGGGCTCGGGGCTTGGACGGTTGCCGGGGCGGGGCTGGCTCTCCATCCTCCCTTGTGCTGCTTGGTCTCCTGAGGTGTGGCTCTTGGTTCCTGTGGGTGGCCCGCTGGCCGGGGTGGCTGCCGGGTTCCGGGGGGTGGACGGCTGGGGGGGGGTGCACTTGGTCGTTGGCGGTGTGGTGGGGTGGTCATGGGTGTGGCTTCTCTGCGGCGGGGGGCTGGCCGGGTGTCCTGGTGCGGCCCGGGCCGGGCCTTGGCTATCTGCTCCTCTCCACCTCAGAATGATTGGGTCTACCTCCTGGGTTCGGGTGTGTGCGGCCTCCATTAGGGGGTGGGTACATGTCCTGGACCTGGGGGGTATAGAGTGTGTATCAGGGGTATGAGTGGAATGTGGCGTCCTTGTACGTCTTTGACTGAGTGGGGGTGAGGATGAGGGTGGGCTGGTGCGATTGTGTATGTTTGGGTATTTGTCAGGCTGTGGTCTGGGCTGCCCCTCCTGCTGGTTTATCTGGGGGCCTGCTGCTACTCGGCCCCCCAGTGGGGTGTGCGGCTGGCCGCCGGCATGCTGGGGGTTCCCGGGGTCTGGGGCTGGGCGCTGGGGTGTGTGTCAGCCTGGCCTGGTGACTGCCTGTTGGGGCTCGGGGCCTCTGGGCCTGTCGGGCTTTGGCCTGGAGGGGGTGATGCGCCCTGGGGGCCCGGACCTCTGTGCCCTTTCCTGGATCTGCTTTGGTATGGCAGGTGCCGGTGAGGCCCATGAGTTTGTCGCTGCTGGCCCCGGGTGCCCCCGGGTGGTCGCTGGAGGGACTCTCCCAGTTCTCCCCTATGGTCTGATCTGGGGGGTGGGTGGGCGGATCTTCCCGTGCGGGTGCCCCTTGGGGCTCTGCGCTCGGGATCCCTCTCGGGCCCTTGGGCTCTGGTCTTCCCTATGTCTGCCTCGTGTCTTGGGGGTTGGGTCTCGGTCCTCCACAGTCACTATTAAATATTCCCTTGGAAAAATCTTGTATATACACACATGTTCACAACTGCTCACAAACAGGTGCTCTGATCTGGGGGTTCTGACAGGTCACTGAGTGTGTATATATGTCTATGKGTATATACAGACAATATTTATGAATGTAGGCATGTATGTATGTATATCTTTATATACAGTATGTATGGGTACAGTATGTGTATATATTTATATATGCCCTCCATGAATTTATCCATTTATTTTTCAGGTGAGCGGACAGATGTTGGGTGTGTGGTCCTGTGTTTTGTTGGTGTATATTTAATATACTTCTAATCGCTATTTCAGTCTTTCTACCTTTCTAATTACCTCTCTCTGTTTTTCTCTCTGTCTCTATTTTCTCTTCACTTAAAAAAAGTCACTGATGATGAAGAAACAAATGAACTAAATAAACCAATGTTTGGTTTCGTTTTCTACTGAAGTGACACAAAAAAAGGTTCAAGGTGAGACTAAAACACAAAAAAAGTTATAATGTGCGACAATAAAATTATATTGATGTTTAGTAAACTAGCTCAGGAGCTAACACCATGTAAATACATTTTATATAGGCCTACAGTATACTAGCCCAGGAATTTATGCAAAAGCTAAAAGGCTKCTGAGGTTCTCCTTCCATGAAACGGCTCTGTTGTCCTCCATTATTTTCAGTGTCAGGCTGAGTCATATTTAAATCCTCCTCTTTGTCAGCGCCAGTTGCTTTCATTTAAAACCTCAGATATTGTCAAAAAATATCATTTACCTAGAATGCTTTAAAGTATTTTTAATGCATTTTTTTCTGGGTCACTTGTATTTAGAACTGTTAGTGTTGCTCAATTTGAGTTTTCAGAGCTGCTCGTGCTAAAGGGGCCACTGAAAACAAACGTCAAAACTCACAACCTTGAACTTTTTGCACTGTTTGAAAGAGGAAGTCAGCATGAGTTCATTTCACAGGAGTGGGTTGACCATGTGGTTGTTTATCCTCCACTTCACAACGTTTATTATAAAACACGTTTCATAATACAGTAGTTGGAGCTATAGATATAAACATAAAAAAGCAGTTCAAGCAGCAGAGGTGCACCCAGATTTCCTCAAATGGGGTGGCTGAAAGTTCTGGGTGGGCATCACTAATAAAAAAAAACATTTTTTAAAAGAATTACCAATGCATGTAGCTCAATCTCTTACTTTACAAGGTATTTTACTGATTATATGATGTGTGAATTGAGTTTAGGTTAGGGTTTGAGTCATGTACCTGTGAGGTTAGGTTTAGTCTAAAGCAGGGGTACTCAAACATTTTGGGTCTGGGGACCCCTTACAAGGGTAAAAGATTCCATGGACCCCCTCATAAACCCCATGCTGTTTAAAAAGATAATTTATTGTCATTTCAACCCCTAAATGCCATGGGAATATATATTTTTATYAAGTTTATTATGTTTGTTTTATTAGTTCATTGTTCTCCATGCATTTTCAAAAATAAAAACCAAACGAACAATTTAGTGAAATTTTTTGAGGACCCCCAAGATACCTCTCGCGGACCCCAGTTTGAGAACCTCTGGTCTAAAGTGTCAGGGTTAGGCTATAGAAATGACCGTGGAAGTCAATGCAAAGTCCCCATGAGGGTAGAAGAAAAAAAACGTGTCCATGAAAGTATTTTATTTTTAAAGAAAAAATAACTGTAGCCACAAACTTATACGGAGGTTTACAGTAATGCCATAAGTTGTCCTTTCATTACAACCTTTCTCCTTTTTGCTCTAAAAAAGTCAAAAGTAAATCGTTAATAKTAAGGGGTACGTTGAACAAAACATGTACTAAAAAATGGGTAAAGCCATCAGTTCCAATTATTTTAAAAGCTTTTTTATTTGGTTGTYGCTGTGTCCTTTTGCAAACAAAAACAGATTACTGTAAATGTCCAAAACTGGGACTAAAAGGACAAAAAGAGGAGGATGTTGTAATTTATATAGCAATCCATTAACAAATTTGAGAAAGTCAGTTCAAAAACTGTAAAACACGACTTTGCGGGGCTTCACTGAATTTTCTCYTGGCTGCTCAAAAACAATGTTTTTCTGTTTATGAGGTTCTATTTTCGGGGAGGCTGTGGCTGAGTGGTTAGTGGAGTCATCCTCCAATGCAAGAGTTGGGGGTTCCTCCTCAAAGTGTCCCCGGGCAAGACATTGAACCGCAACAGCCTCTGATGTGTGTCCCATCAGTGTACAGTATGAATGTGATTYAAGCACYGACTAATGAACAGTCTGGATTAGCTTTGTAGACAGAGTGCTGTGTGGCTGGGTAAATGGGGGCACAGATTGTAGTGTGAAGTGCTTTGAGTATCCTGGTTGGATACTGTGTATCCTGGGTTGCCTTTGCCCCCCTGAACCATAAAATGGCTGTGCCTCTGTGAAGGAACCTTTAGTGGCCCYCAACGCCGTGTTGTGATTTTTCTCTCCAGTCCAGGTCACAAATATTGATCGAGCTCTCTTCAATTAACCTGAGTGCTGTTCACCTTCCCCATACTCCTAAACCCCAGAACAAAAGGATGTGTACAGTATAGGGGTGGGGGACTAGAGTATTTTTTTTGTTCTTGGCGATTTGGGGGAGTCAAAGGTCATCTTTATTAGCTGTACACAATCACTGCATCTAAACCTTTATCAGGCCACGACTTGAAGGCAAAGTTCATCAAATATCAGTATGTCTTGAGTCTTGAGAAGGTTGGATTAATCAGTGATAAATTCTGCTTTATGACCATGTTGAGAACATATTAAGGGGCAACCTTGTCTTTCCGAGCTGCTCACAGTTCTTCACAGTGGCCTCAGGTAAGACACAAACATATACTAAAGATTATCAAGAAGCTGGTTAATGACTGACGAGATGTCGACTTTGGGCATAAAAAGACGAGAGGAGAGAAAACAGCTTTACACTGTTGTTGTTTACCTTACAGGATGTTGACGTTAGTCCTGCTGTTCCTGACTCTGTCAGGTAAGAACCTTTGTCTTAACTTCCAGCAGGGATTACTGAATTTCACTTTTAAACTGCAGGATTGTAAATCTGGATAACTCAAGTATCTTAGTAAGTAAGTAWGTAAAGTTTTAWTTCTTRAGCGCCTTTCACAGAAATATATACACAAGGTGCTGTACAGTCATTAACAGTATAAAAATGGTGGAAAGAATAAAATGAAACAGAAAAACATAATTAAACATAAGCAATGAATATTGAAGCATCAAATCAAGAAAATAATTTCTAAAATTTTAAATCAAACACAAGGTCAATGCAGTTTTCCGTGTTTGCAGACGATGTGATTCTCTACTTGTCTCAAATATAATACCTGCATTGCTGCTCAGATATTTTGGGTCAAATCCTAATTATGTTTAAAATACTTTTTTATCCTCATTAGCAAAATAAAATCTCGGTTGACAAATACAATTTTTTTACCAAACGTAACTTTTTTAACATTTGTTTGGAAATTTAAAACCTTTCCTAAACAAGTCATTTTGTACCTATCAAGTACTGTTTTTGTTCCACATCAATGTTCTTATCAGTGTTATTGTTTGTTGCTGTGACAACAAACTCTTGTTGTGACAAACAACTGACCTCTTTTATGGCTGTACAGAAAACAAGAACGGTTTATTACGATGTTAAAGTTAAAGAACAATATTCTGTTGAAGTACAGTTAATATAAAAACTATTACATGATTAAAAACTATCAAAGATTTGATTTGATCAGTTTTTAGAAAACATATCCAAATGTTTAACAACTTTTTAATAAAATATGATAAAATGGAAAACATTTTTACTTTTTGAACATTGTTTTTCAAACCGTATTTAAATTATTATTATTATTATTATTATTAACTTTTATTTTCTGTCATCACTATGGTTTGTAAATGTTATATTTTGTGAGTTGCTTTAACTCTATCTTTAGGAAAACATAGGTATCTAGCTTTTAATGATGTTCAGCACCAAAACGCAGGTCATGTACCTGGACCTGAATCTGAGTAAATCTATTTACAGGCCTCCAAGCTCTTCCAATCGCAGCCCCCAAACAGCCAGTACTTCCATCAATCCATCAACTCCCTGAAGACTGCTTGCGGGGTGCYGGACATTCAGACACACGTGGGCCCGTTCCTGGTGGCTTCAGACAAGGCACCGAGCCCTCCAGGAAATTCCTCGTCGACCTGAACACCGGTCTGGTGAAGGAGCACGTCAGTGAGATGGACAGGAGAGTGGGTGAGCAGGAAGTCAATGCTAAGCTGACTCTCAAGACTTATGTRCAGTTTTATCTTTAGTTTCCTTCAGTGTTCCAAATATGGTTTGAKGTTTTGTCTTTCAAATGATGTTAAGAAATCCTAAATAGAATATGCCACAAATAAGATTCAGACCCATAAATATGACTTAATCCCTCAATGTGATGGATAATAAATGTTTTTTTTAACCTAAAGAATGATTAGGTTTATCCAAAGATCCATCATTGTAGGTCCATCACTTCTTATTTTATTTATAAGTTGATGGTTGTATTTAGATATTTTTCACTTAAACAAACCTTTCTAACCAAAGTATTCCCTGTTTTTTAGTTGCTGACATTCCAGCAAAGAAGCATGGTGAAGGTTGGGTTCGTGAAGAAAACCCCCCTGCTCCTCATCTCCCAGTTAGATTCAGACAGGGAACTGAACCAAAAATGATGATCCCAGTTAGATTCAGACAGGGAACTGAAACAGAAGACGTGATCCCGGTTGATTTCAGACAGGGAACGGAACCAGAACATGTGATCCCAGTTAGATTCAGACAGGGAACGGAACCAGAACATGTGATCCCAGTTAGATTCAGACAGGGAACGGAACCAGAAGACGTGATCCCGGTTGATTTCAGACAGGGAACGGAACCAGAACATGTGATCTCAGTTAGATTCAGACAGGGAACGGAACCAGAACATGTGATCCCAGTTAGATTCAGACAGGGAACGGAACCAAGACCAGTGATGCCAGTTGATTTCAGACAGGGAACAGAACCAAGACCAGTGATGCCAGTTGATTTCAGACAGGGAACGGAACCAAGACCAGTGATGCCAGTTGATTTCAGACAGGGAACAGAACCAAGACCAGTGATGCCGGTTGATTTTAGACAAGGAACTGAACCAAGACCAGTGATGCCAGTTGATTTTAGACAAGGAACTGAACCAAGACCAGTGATGCCGGTTGATTTCAGACAGGGAACAGAACCAAAAATGGGGATTGCAGTAGGTTTCAGACAGGGAACAGAACCAAAAATGGGGATTGCAGTAGGTTTCAGACAGGGAACAGAACCAAAAATGGAGATCCCGATTGGTTTCAGGCAAGGGACAGAACCAGAAGACCCAACATACGCAGCACGCTGTARGGGCAAGATCATCAACGATAAATGCTACCAGTTCAACCCCATGCCACTGGCCTTTAAAGATGCCCAGGTTAGACTGGTGATACATCAAGACACAAGAAAAGTTCTTCCTATTTTTTAAAGTCCTTTAAGTTTTATGGTTGTTGGTTTACAGGCCTTGTGCAGAAATTCTGCCCCCAAAGCTGAGCTTGCGTCTATAACCAACAGTGATCTGCATACAGGTCTAGTTTCTCTGGTGACCAACAGTGGCCAGAGTAACCCTGTGTTGACCTGGCTGGGAGCCATCATCAAGGCAAGTGCTTTGGATACTCACCTCCTCAAATGAAGAGTCTAGAAAGTTTTTTATTTTGAACCTCAGAAAAAGTGATTCCAGGGAAASTAATATTTTGATTCAAGGGTTTAGAGACTGTGATGTAAGCAGACTGGCCTTGTACCATGGCACCACAAGGAGGCCAAGGAGACAGTCATCAGATATCTTATCAACATGACAGATAACATTATCCTTACCTTGGTAAAACATTGACCTTTAAACCTTTAAATAAAAATGTTACAACAGTTTCTGTTCAGTTATTTGAAGAGGACAGAACATAATTTGAAAATGTGTTGTAATAAAAATAGTTTTAATAGTCTACTCAACTCTGTCACTTTAAAAAGGTCCCTATCAGTTTTTTTAAAATAAATAAATAAAAACATCTGAAACTTGTTTATCAGGCTGATGTTGACATAATGCATAAATGCAAACATTTGAGCCAACCATTTGCAGTTTATAAATTTTATGTGATATGCCCATTGCACAGGCTGTTATCGTGATGATGATGCAGCCCTAATTGTACGTATGCTTCACACTTCAGAACCAACAGGCCTCGTGGGTTGACGGGTCAGAATGGAGTTACTCTGACTGGATGCCGGGTCACCCCAACATCCACACAGACAAGCCGGTCTGTGTAGAGATGTTTAAGATAGGTAATACAGGAAATACACCATCTACATGTCTATACCAGTATTTATGTACCTGAGAACACTGTGTTCATCTCTTTTAAAGTGGAATTCTGTGGAAAGGTTAATAATGTATTATATGTTGTAGAAAGCTGTTTTGAATGATCTCACATTAGAGTCTAGTTCTGACCAGACTGATCAGCAAACAGAAAGTCTGAAACCAAAGTACAATGAAGTTGTCTTAAGACAGCAGCAATTTCAAAAGTTCCACAGCTGTTGGTGTAAACATGTTTAGAAGCCAGCCTAGGGTGTTTTGGATGAGTACGTATTTAATGTCCGTCACTCTACATTGACTAGTTTAAGATTAAAAGGCTAAAGGACCATTTTTGAACACCTCCAACCTCAAAAACCTCACAGGGGTTCATTTAAATGAAAATTTATAAACCTTTACTATCAGTTTTATGTTACATGGCTGAGAACTGCTACAGCTAGCTTCCGGWGCTAGCAGCTAGCTGTAATTGGAGCTCCATCTGGTACTAGCAAATAATAGTTTTTGAAAGTGTATGTCGCTGCCAGCTAGCTGTATTCAAAACTATGTGATGCTAGCAGCCAGTTGTATGTAACTGTACAGGTGTTTTGTCCTCCTAAATAAGCATAAAACTCCATGTTAGACCCCGTGTAATAAAAAAAAACTGAAGTCAGTGTAAAAGTTTATAAAAATATGTAGCATCAACCACTTTAAAATATTCAATATTGGTGTTTTTTAAACTCAGTTACAATCTATGTCGAACTAGTTGTTTGATCAGAACCAAATTTTGTCCAAACTTCTGTTGTTTAAAAAGTTATCTACAACAGGTAAGATGTTGACTACAGTATTCCACTCAACTTTAAATTGACAAATCCGATATAACAAAGAATTGATATGCTACAATTAGCTTTAAGTTTTTAGCATGTTTTGGAAACTGTCTGAAATAATTCTGTCTCCACTCATATTTCCAGGCGAGAGCTGGTGGACGGCTGCCGACTGCGAGTTCAAGAGGGCGTCCATCTGCTCTTTTCCCATCTTTGCATGAAAAACACAGAAWCAAGACATGCGTCTCCAAATCCAGTGAAATGTTCCACAAGTTTGGGATACCTACCGCATCGTTTGTGTCTCCTTAAATAAAACATGCCATTTTACTCATCTGTTCTGTTTATTTTACTATAGTAAAAACTGCAGACTCGWATCTTAATTTAGACAAGACTTTAATGATCATTTTTCCACGTGTATACAAAGCAGTTTGTACAGATTTAGAGAGCCGAGTTAAAACAATTTGTTAAAATTTTGGTACCTGGAAAGTGCAAAAAAAGGATGATAAAATAAAAATCATGCTGTACATCATATATATATATATAGATACTATATTCATAAATAATCACAGATATACACACAAACATTTTGTTGACAGACACAAAGGATGCAGCCAAGACAAAAAAAAAAAAAAAACAAAAAGCAGTTTTTGGATTATTTTTATTGAATTGAATATTGGTTCCTATTGAACGTGTGGAATGCTGACTTTAGCTGATTTGTGGGGATGTGTGGCTTAGCTTTAGTCTGGATAAAGGCACTCCGTTTGTTGCAGTCGTGGAGCAACTCTAAACAGTGGTCGCATGGTTTAAGAACAAATATGGATAAATAATTTAAAAAACAAAACATTTGAAGCACCTTTCACAGTAAATTTCGCTGTGAAGTTTAAATAAAACCGTAGACAGAGGAGAAACAGAAAATACTGGAAATTAAAAATAAACACTTCCTCACGCAGTTATGGTGCAAAATAAGTCATTCATCGCTGCTGAAAACACAAAATCTCCTATGCAACATAAGCAAATCATACAAAATTAAAAAAAACTAAATCAGTCACAATGTGTAGATGTGAATTAGTGAGTGTTGAACTGCAGGAAGACTGGAAACAGGCTTGCTGAAAGACAAAGAAAAAGAACAAACAGGCACAAAAACAACGTATTGCTACCAAMACCAACCTCGCCGAAAGCCCTTAAATAATTCCTCCTTCTTTGAACTCATGTTTCAAATGTGCCACACTGAGAAAAATCAAACTGCTGCTCATAAATAAACAGATTCAAGTAACTTAAAAACATTCAGCGAGGCACAGAAGTGCTTTTGTCTCAGAAGGGAGTTGGAGAATGTAGTGTTTTAATGATATTTTACTGTTTCTTTTTATTACAAAACAATAAATACAAAAATTAAAATGACAAATGTGAAAGAAAAGATGCCTGGAAGTTGTGTTGATTTATCAGAAAACCTAAAGATATGATAGAAAAACAAAAATGTAATTGTGTTTATTCACTGAAAAACATAGAAAAGGCGTAGAGTTTGGTTTTGTGGTTGATATTTTACTGCATAAGGCTGCGCGGCAGCAGCTTCGAGGCAACCGAGGAAAGTCCCACAAACGGTTTAAGAAGAGAAATATGAAGTTGATCAGTTCACAAATGGTTTCTTTCTTGTTGCAGAAGGTGCTTTGAGTCGTCTCAGTTTGGAAAAATGTACTTTAATTCTCACCAGACTGATGAGCTAATAGCTAGTCCATGAGGAGGCCAGGACCTCACTGCTGCAAAGAACACATTTGATGTATACAAAGAGCTAAAAAATAACTAAAAACTGATGAAAATGTTTCAGAAGAATGCATTTACATAAACCGTTTAATTTACRATTTAAAGATTGCAGCTACCTGATTTGGTTTTGGCTGTGTTTGGACTAGCCGTTAGCTTATCAGTATGATAAAAAACAAAAATATTTAAGAAACAAGAGGTTAATCCTGACCAGGGTGATGAGCTAATGGCTAGTCAGCGAGTAACCAGGGCCAGAGTGGCTCAGAGCAACTCTGATCTCTAACATTTCAAAACAGCTCGTGTTTTTATGAACCTTTACAGAAAAGTTTGTGGTTATTCTGAGAGAGGTATTCCTACAGGAAGAGCTACAGCTAGCTGCTGCTGCTGATTGAACTTGCAAATAACCATAGATTATCTATAACATTGCCACAATGTAAAGGTTTATAAAACAGTGTGGTCTGCTCTGACTAGCCTTTAGCTCGTTAAACTTTTTGTCTAAACCGAGGTTGTCTGAAGAGCGATCTACAACAGGTAAGATACTATTTGTTAACAGCCTCGAGTAGATTTACAGTGTTGCTTTGAGCTGTGAAAAATGATGTTTTGGAAGTAGTGACGGGGATTTACTAGAGGCCGGAACCAGTTCTGTGGCGAAAGCACGGCGCCAGCACCGTACAGTCGGTCCAAAGCGAGAAATGAAAACACACGGCGATGCTCAGAACTCCAGACTCCACAAAAAAAATAAAAATAAAAAATGCTGCTAACCTTCTTTTTGGGTAAAACCAGAGCGGAATAATGAAGGAACTGAGGGAAACGAGGTGATGGACGGGAGCGAGGGAGGGGGGAGGGGCACTCAGGGACCAGGAGGGGGGGAGGGGGGGTCACTTGCTGTCCTCCTTGTTGGTGTTGTATTCGGTCTCAGTGGAGATCTGGCTCAGCTTCTTGCTGGAGCCCCACAGCTTCCGTGTGATCTGGAAGGAGTGAAGGAAGAGGAGGAAGGAGGAAGGAGAGGGGAAGAGGGTGGGAGGATGGAAAATGAAAAAAAAAAGTGAAGAGAAGAGAACAAAACAGGATGGATGTGAGGATTGATTTACTTGTGAGGCAATAAAAAGGTGAAAATGAGAGTGGGATCAAACATCAAAGTCTATCATGGCACTGGACTCTTCTTATGGCTTTAGTTTGCAGGAGTCTTAATTAGTTTGTTTCACAGCGACACCTCAGGCCCWGTTAATGGGCTGAGGCCAGAACAGGAAGTTGTTTTTGGCGTCACAGTTTAGTTTCTAACAGCAGCTGCGCCTCGACGGCGTCAGCTTGAGGTGACTTTACAAACTGAGGGTGGCGCCCGGCCCTGAGGAGAAGAGGTGCTACGGTTTCTGAGGGCTGAACAGCAGCTGGTCCCGCTGGTGGAGCAGGCGCGTGGGCGAGCGAGCTCGGAGCGGGGCCAGCAGCGGGGACGACATGAGCGGCGAGCCCTCCAGGCTCTGAGCGATGTAGTTCCTCAGCGAGCTCTTTACCTCTGCCGGCTTGCCCACGCCCACGATGATCAGCTTGCCGTCCTCCAGGCCCACCAGGACGTGGCTCTGCTCCTTGGTGACGGAGACGCAGCGGACCGGGACCCGCATGGCCATGGGCTCGGTGCTCAGAGACAGGCTGCAGAGGACAAAAAGGGTTTATAGCACGTGTGTCCAACACAAGGTCCGTGGGTGACTCCTGTGTGACCCCACCCCCACAAAAATACATTGTGTGTGTGTGTGTGTGTGTGTGTCGGGGGTTACGTAACATGAAAATTGTTTCTTATATCAATGGTAAACTTTAAAGTTATGATTAAATGCACCAAAATACATTTAATAAAAATAAATGAATCTAGATACCGCAGAGCAGTAACACAATGACCCCCGCACACACAAATGCATCAGAACTCAGAAGTCTTTATTCCTAATTCATGTCATGCTACTAGGTGCATCCCAAAATTACTTTTTTTTTTCAATTTTCTTTCTTCCTGCAGCTGCTAGGCAAACTGGCCTCACTCACTCGGGTCGTGCCCTTAGGTCTGCTGTCACTGCGCCCATTTCAAAGGTGGCTCACTTGTTTTCATCTGGATGCCAGGCTTCACAAGCATCACAAAATTGTGGTGACGAGATCATGTCTGCGTACCCTGGACCCATGGGTGTGGAAGTGGGGGGAATGTGGACCTGACTACCCAGGGCCCAAGAAGGGAGAGGGGCCCATGGAAGTCCAGATTTTATTTTTTATTTATTTTTTCCCAGATGAAATGGGCCCCTCAATTAATTGGTGTAGTAATTTATTTCAAATATATTGATAACATAAACTGAGAGAATGAACTTTATTTTACTGTCCACACCATATTGAACATTCTGGTGGCCCCCCTCTTGGAGGCGCAAAATGGTTTAGTCCACCCAACAGCAACCAGGAAGTGTGTAACCCAGACACAGCTGAAGGAGCTGCAGGGAGACCAGACAGACAGAACTGGGATGTTTCTTGTGGTCTGCCTGCTGACTGGCTGGCCTGTTCAGCTGGTTAAAAGTTTCAGTCCGATACCCCAGGTAGGACAGAGGGTCTCAGGTAGGACAGAGTGTCTCAGGTAAGAGATGAAGGTGATGGGCAGGTGTGAAGAAAATATAAAATGTTATTTTGAGTACATTCTAATCAGTTGTGTGAACTTAAAGAAATAAGTTACTGATCTAAATACATAATCTACAGCATGATTAACAGTTTCATTTAATCTTGACCAGTATAAGAATGATAGGCTTATTACTTTCATTTTTTAGGAAGTTGTAGAAATTAGTTTTCATTATTCAGATTTTCCTGGTTAAATAAAGCTCAGTAAATAAATCTGTCAATCCATCYATCATTAGCTTTCTAATCAGTTCCAACATCCTTGTATCAATTGTTCCTAATTTACATGCAGGTTGATGAAACTGACAAAAGTTATTTTTTCAACACAGTTGTTTGGCACAGTGTTATTTTATGTTGTGAAGAAAGCTGCATGATGTCATGTCAGTTTATGAGTGGACCTGTCATCAAATCAGAAAAAAGACAAACATTCAACTAAATTCACTGTTGGTTGTTATCATAATTACACCTGTTCACTGGATAAAGTTATTAATGATTTTAGTTTGAAACATGCAGTTGTGTGTCATCATTGTTTGGCACATTATGTACATTAATTTAATTTTCTGAGCCATAAGTGAGTTTAAAAACAGGACAATGCAACTAGTTTAATGAAGAATCTGTCTCTAGTTGTCTCTAATTAAGTCTTTATTTGTGTAAGTAAAAGTATATTTAACAACCTGTTAAAATACACTAGAAATCAGGAAATAGCTTATACTTTTTTCAAAAATTTCTGGGGGAGGACCCCCAGACCCCCATCCAGTGTGTCCTTTACACACAACAAGTTTTCTGATGCTGCAGTTAGAGAGGAGAAACATACCTGTTGAGCTCCACCTGCGTCTCTGTATGAAACTATGGCTGATTGTCAAACTGTATTCTTAGTGAGTTTAAAGGGCTGGTACACTACATGGTTGGATGAAGGTGAACATAATCTCAGTTAATATGGTTTGACTAATATTGCATCACAAAAGAAGCATTTGGTGTTCAGTTTATGACTTGTGCAGACAGTTAAACTGAGCACACATCATGTACCAAAT